AAGTATCTCAATGAGACCCTGTCTCTAAATAAAATGCAAAATAGGACTAGGGGTGAGGATCAGTGGTCAAGTGCCCCTGAGTTCAATCCTTGGTACCAGAAAAATAAATAAAATAAAATAAACAAAAATATATTCCTAATTATTGGTTGTGTTTATGTGGCAAATTTTTGAAAATTTCTTTTTCACTTAACATTTTTTTACAACATGATTTGTTTGGAATGCCAGTAACCAATTTATTTTGAAAGTAATGTTCCAGATCTAAGTAAAAATCAGTATTGATTTTTACTGAAGTTGCCTTAATTATTTATTCATTTATTTATTTTTTAGATTTTAAAATGTTTTTAATTTTTTATTAGTTCTAATTAGTTATACATTCTTTTCAATTCATTGCACACAAATGGAGCAGAATTTTTCTCTGGTGGTACATGAAGTAGAGTCACACTATTTGTGCAATCATACATGCACGGTAATGATGTCTGTTTCATTCCACCGTCTTTTCTACTTCCTTACCCCCTCCCCCCTTTGCCCCATCCAAAGTTCCTCTACTCATATCACACACACATTCCCATTATTGATTAACATCCACTTATCAGAGAAAACATTCATCCCTTGTTTTTTTTAGGATTGGCTTATTTCACTTAGCATGATGTTCTCCAGCTCCATCCATTTACCTGTAAATGCTGTAATTTTATTCTCCTAAAGTTGCTTTATTTAAATTGGCATCTATTAGAGTTTTAAAAGATAAACTGCAATTTTAAAATATGGCCATTTTTCTTCAAGGTAGGATGTAATTAATATCATCTAATATAAATCTCGACACACTTGTACTGGGTGCTCCTCTTCTGAGAGTGTATTTATCACTTTACTGATCTAATTCTTCTAATTTTAATTTTCACTGCTTTAAAGTAGATCCTCACCATGTTGGGATAGGGATTAGGAGATTATTAGTAGTTAAATTGCTAAAGGTTAAATGTTTCCATATGTAGTCATGATAAAATGTATTTTTGCTTTCTGACTCTAGAAGTATTCACAGAACCTGAAGAATTACTTGTTCTCTGATGGGTCTTTTCTGATTCAACACAGAAAAGGATAGTCATAGCTACCTTTATCAAAGGTTGTCCCTTAAATGCCTTTGAAGGGAGTTTACTACTATTATTAAGTTAAGAATTTGTTCTTCTATCATCATTGGTCTGGAAAAAAATCCACTTTATAACATTATTTGCAATGTAAATTCAGATGAAAACCGCTTTTTGTTGAGACAATTCTCTGTACTTCAGTGTGATGGCCATGAAAATGGCTTCATGTTTTTTATRTTTCTGGAAATGCATTTTTTTCATATATATGCTGGGGGGGGAATTTTACATGTTCAGGAATTTAAAAAGGATACCTCATTGGTCATTAAAAACTACTTCTTCAAAATGCATAATATTTGACTTTTCTAGATGGATTCCCCTGTGCTTCAAAGATCATACTGTAGTTTATGGGGTCTGAAGTTTGAAGGAGTTCAGGACAAAGATAAGGGGTAGGTACACAGTCGTGCAAATGTGGGTAGAAACTAATGTTAGTTGCCACTCCAATTACATTTTATTAACAATTATGATGAAATCATAGATGTATCCCTACCTGTGTAATAGAAAGTAGATATTTGTACCTTTGTAAGAATTTTTCCAAGAGAGTTAGTTTGACTTAACACTACTTTATAAGGAACAGTATTTTATAGGGAATGTAATTAATTATATATCGTCTACTTCTCTAATAGCTTTAAAARGGGATCTCTAAATGTGAATCAGATATTGACACTTCCTTCCCCTAGCCTCTCTTTTGTGGTCCAGCTATTTCTGTAATAACACTTGACATTTTCTCAGGTGTCTCCCTTAATGTAAAAGACAATAAAGAAGCTGGACCTGGTGGTACATGTCAGTAATCCCAGCTGTCAGGAAGGCTGAGGCAGGAAGAACACAAATACAAGGCCAGCATGGACAACTTAATGAGACCCTGTCTCAAAAAAATTAAAAAGTAAAAAGGACTGGGGATGTAGTTCAGTGGTAGAGCACCCCTGGGTACAATMCCCAGTACTCAAAAACCAAACCAAAACAAACACCACACAATTAAGAATGGTTGGGAGCCAGGTCTATTGGTGCAAGCCTWTAGTTCCAGCTTTTGGGAGCCTGARGTAGAAGGATTGCTTGAGCCCAGGAGTTAAAGACCAACTCTGACAACGGGAGACTGTGTCACCAAAAAAACAAAAAATTAACTAAGAGTGGTTGAAGCCAACTTTTTCTATGAATTTTTCATTTCCTCGAAACCTGTTACCATTTGAACCCTTGTAAAATYAAATCTCTCAATTTGACTCCAGCTGTTTTGAAATTTGTCTTGGATCAGAAAGTAAATTTGAGCCTATATTGCCATCTTTCCTAAGTCATAGCAGTGATATCTCCCTGAGAGGTYTCAGAATCTCTTCAAATATGGTCCTCCTGAGAAAACAAGGTGATTTTCAGTAAGATTCATTGACTCAAGTTGGTTTCTCCTTTTCTCTTTTGAAGCAACAATTGAGAATATTTGTGGTAGGGAAGACTTAACATTGCAATTTTAATTTTGCTTCATATTGAAAAATTTTGACACAGCTACTTACCTAAACGATTTGTTTTACTAAATACAAATAAAGCTTTCTGCCAAATGCAGTAACCCTGCTAATTGACTAGAGCAGAAGAGCAATGCCATTGTTACTTTTTGAAAAATGGAATAATAATTTTTTCAGTGACGTTTGGAGAAATACAGGATAGTTGCATAAATTTCTAAAAACCCTCTTTTTACAACAATACTGCTTGTGCATTCAATACAACACTTTTTTGGGTTTGGGGGGAATTTTTTTGTTTAACTTAGAATGTGAATGATCTTTGTCTTATTTTTTGTCTCGGATTTCTTTCTTGAATATAAACTGGCAATGCTTGATTTCTTTTGTGCTTGGTCTGGTACACCTGTGTCCATCTTTTTCATGTTCAACTTTGATGGCTCTCTTTGTTATAGATGTCTCATTTAAATGGCTTAGATTGGCTTTTGCTTTGTGACATGGGGTGAAAWCCATTTATCTTGATGGGTGGGTTAATTCCATCTTATATTTACTATCATGTTAGATGAGTTGATCTCACATCTATCTTGATCTTTTCCTCTGGATAGTTTTTTAAAAAGTCTCCTCCAACCCAAAACAAAGAATGTGAAAGAAGGGATGAAGCAAAAAATTGAAACTCCCTTAAGATTAATTGCATATTTGGTTATTAGTTTTGTATTTGGTGTGTGTGTGGGGGGGGTGTTTTCCCTTTGGTTCTTAATCCATATCCCTTGGAAAAACACAAATAGAATCATTAAGTTCCAATAAATTTTCATTGTATTAATTTCTACATTATGTAAATACTTTGACCATTTAATTTTTTATTTGCATAATGTTCTTATATAATGACAAATTATTCTTGATATTTCATAAACTTTAGAGATTCAACTGGAATAAGTCTTCTGATGTGATTGTTAACTATATAAATGTAGAAACTGAGGTATAAGAGTAATATTTTACCAAAGAAAACCCTGTTTTTCCAGTGAGTTAATTCAGTTATCCCAGGAAGGAGAATTATAATTTAAAGAAATAACATTATTGTAAGTATTCATTATATTTTTATATGGTTTTGATTCATACTTAATCAAAAGTCTGATTTCTAGATTACTCTATCAAACCAGTGAATAGGCATCTATAATACACACTCATATTAGATATTTAAAGCACCAGGACTTTAAACACATATTCATTTAATAATATCTGAGGCTTTTTAAAGAAGTAAAGTAGTAGCTCCTTGATTTGTATTTCTAGAGCTTTAACTGCCTTAGCCTTTTTTGTTTTTAATGGTGAGTACAAAATTCCAAAGCATCATGAACATTTAGGGTCAGTTAACAAATTTATAAACTGAAATTAAGGTCTTTGAGTAAGATTTGTTAATACAAAAGTAGACTACTTTTGGAAATCCTTGAGTAAGGAAAAGTCTGTTATGGTCTCTGGATAAAGTGCTTACTGTAAAGTTTTTATTCACATTTAAATGCAAATAAAAATTCTATAAAAGTTATTTTCAGAAACGTATCAGTTAAATTTACCTTTCACTATAATTCAACTTCAGGTTTGGTTTTAATATACTACCATTAGTTTGAACATTGCCTATGACAGGGTCATACAGTAGGTACTCAATAAATATATCACAGAGCAAAGTAATTTAAAGAATCTCCCAATTCACATTATCATAGTATATAAAATAGCTCAAAAATAACTGGGAATTCCTTTAGAATTATCAATGTGAGTCTGGGACAGTACCAATATGAACAGCTGTTAAATCGTTGTTTCTAAGGTGGAGATCAAGTTTAAAAATATGGACAGATATGCATTTCTTGCGAATTATCAAAATTAATGGTGATAATTTGGAATGTAAATATAACAACTTTCAATGAATTTACTCACTAAAAAATACTGAGGAAAATATTTAGTAGTTCATAATATTTACTATATTTAGCAGTCTAAATAAAATAAAGTAACATTCAGTCTCAAGATATTTTGAAATATTTGCATCAAAAATCAAAACCAAGGCAGATTAGATAATTCTTAAGAGAAAAGTATGCCTRTGTGAGAAGGGGAAATAGTTAAAATTCAAGACAGTTTGTTTCATCCTGTGAGTGTAAAGTTTCAAAAGGCAGTGATGATTTACCTGAATATCACTTTTATACTTAGCCTCAAGCTAGTTACTACTCTCAGCTTCATTGAGTTTTTTTCCAATTTTTTTAAAATATCTTTTTTAATTGTAGGTGGACACAATGCCTTTATTTTATTTTATTTATTTTTATGTGGTGCTGAGGATTGAACCCAGTGCTGAGCTTCATTGAAGATTCGGGAGAAGCCAAGTGTAGTGTCATTTAAGAATATGCACGCAATCCCCCATCCTCTCAGCCAAAAAAAAAGTATTGATTACACATAGAAAAGATTATTTTCTTTTCTATTTAATGCAGTGAATATGTAGTCAACATTATCATTGAACTAAACATCTGAAACTTGATACAATGAAACAAAATTAGTCATGTTAATGGTTACGATTCACTAAATACATCAGAGGTTGTAGAGTATCAGGCTTATAGACATCTGAGAAGACATTGTCRGCACAGACATAAATCTCACACAAGGTATAATCAAGTTATTTTAAACAAATATCAGACTCTCTGTAGTAACATCAACTTCATGAAGTAATGTTTTAGCAACAAACAGTGATGGTATGCAGAGGTAAAGCATGTCATTTTAAACATGATGCACTAAATAGAGCATAATGAGGTCAAAGCCTTTCTGTAGAAAGATAATTTAATTGACGTTCTTTCAAGCATAGTGTATAAACAGATCAAAATAGTTCTATTATAAGAAATAGTATTTAACAACATATCTCTAAATAAAAATACTTTTAAAAATCAGCTTTGATGAGATTGTTTATTATTTAAAGAATCTTCCTTTAGYGTGAAATATATATTTTCTGCTTTTCTACATCTTCCAACATAATCCCCACCAGTATATTATTCCCTATCCCAGTCTATTATTAAGAAAGTAGTGCAAAACATTGTCTGCAGCAGTTTCAACTGAGCTAAAGTTGCCTACCAAGTTAGAGAAGTAAGATTCCCGCTRCCCAAATGGTTTCTTTCTTTCTCCAGAGGTACATTCCCTCGATATACCAGGGAGATAGGTATAAAAGCCACTGTAAGTCTTGGGAATGCAGTTTTTAAGTATAGATTCTATGGTAAGTAGTGAAACATTTTTAAAGGCAACCCCCCAAGCAGTTTATTTTACAAAACAGGTTCTCATGCATTCATATTATCAAGAATTATTTTTTCATAAATGAATGTAATGAAACACTGGCATATCACTTAGCACACTGCATTCTCCTCTACATTTAAATTCACACTAACAAAATCATAGTATGCATTAAAGCATTTCAGGAACTTAATGAAAAATATTTTTTTTCTGTGAGAACACTTGAGTATTAAATGTTTTCAGATGCACAAATACATAATTTGATAGCAAAAGCAATATGGATTTGTTTTGCTTAGTATTTTTGACAATTGAATTGGGTTGCTAATTTACTAACTTTGGTAGATATAAAAATTCAGATAGGCAATCATTTATAAACCTGGCAGTATTTATGTTATATAGTCCTGGAGAGATTTTAAGTTCTTAGATGGAATGATAGAAGGTTTATAACTTTCCTTTACAGAATCTCAGATTCTCTTGAGGGGTTGAATGTGCCTGCACTCATTAGTTTAAAATCAGCCTAGTCATACCTAAGTAATTTGCACAGGAGTGAATTTCAGGATCTAAAGACAGGATTTACATTAGATTGAAGTGTGTCCTTTTCAATTCAGACTTTGGGATTTGCCCTTTCTTGAAATGTATAAAACATAGAAAAATGTAATGGATTACCTTTCAGATAAAAAATAGTCACATTTAAGAAAAACTTTAAATCTACATAAAATTTAAATGTTAATTTTATTTTAATCAGAGTTAAGCATTTTATCTAATATTCTGGTTCTTCTACTTGTAATTAGAGAAGTGTGTGTCTTCCAGTGTTATCACCCTTACATTTGTTCTTTCGGTGTATTATATTATTATCCATAGCTAACAAGACTTTCACACAGTAGTAGTTAAACTGTTATCAAGTTGAGTCTGTACAATGGAAGTATATTTCCAAAGACATATGCCTTTGTACAATATTTACAAATTATATCATGATAAAAAGGCAAAATAAATAAAAAGCAGAAAGAAAGGAAATGCTGCAGAGGCTGAAGGCTTTTTCTTTTATCTTCCCAAACAGATGCTGGTCTCCTCAGTGCTGGGAGCTGGCTAGCCAAGATTGTTTTTCTTTCTTTTATATGGGCTATGAGAAGGATCTGGTTTCAGTTCTTGGTATTGCACCTGTTTAAACAGAGTTCAGAGAAAAACTGGTCAGGTGGCCACTTTCTGGCAAAGGAAGGAAAAGCAAAGCAATGAAAGACTATGCTGGGGGGCGGGGTGGAATGCTGTAGAGCATTATGGGTTCTGCAGCTGGGATGCACAAAACAATAAGAATGATAGAGTAGAAGTCAGAAAGGAAATTCTGCCAAAAACTTCATGGAACCTTGATGTGAACTTTGGTAATGGGCTAGGGTCTTTGCTGACCATAACATATGAAAAGCAAAACCATCTCAATCTGTTTTGAAGGACTGGATAATGGTTCTTTGCAATTTACTGTCTGTTGCATACTGTCTTAATCTTCATCCAGCCCATTCTCATCCATATCAAATGAAAAACTGAACTGAAACAGGAAAAAGTTATTAGCTACAACTCACCTTAAAGATTTTGATTAAAAAAAAAAACAACACCTTATTCTGAAAATAGTTGATGGTTTAATGGACTTTAACCTTAAAGGATTTCAAAGTATTTTTAAAATGTGCCCCATTCTTTAAAAAGTAGTCAGCTTCCTCCCCCTCAGTGATCTCTAAAATWTGCGTCTTTAAAACTCACTTAAATGTGCATACTCTAGAAATAAATTTTTTTGTCTTAAGTGTCTGCTGACAAATTTTAGTCTCATTTAATAGTCCTATTTTCTCCCATCAAGTCATGATGACAAACTCCAGCTGAACTTAGGTGAAGGAGGATTCTTCCTGACAACTCTGGTAGGTTTTTTTAAAAAAATATTTATTTTTTTAATTGTAGTTGGATACAATWACTTTATTTAATTAATTWATTTATTTATTTATTTTTTATGTGGTGCTGAGGATCAAACAGGGCCTCGCAGTGCTAGGCAAGCACTCTACTGCTGAGCCACAACCCCAGCCCCTCTGGTAGGTTCTTTATGCAGCATACTCTGATTTTCACACTCACCATTCTTTGCTAAATTTTTCTTGGATAACACTCCAAGTTGACTAACGTCCTGCCTGGGAAAATCTTCCACAGTCTTTATTAACTTTACCTGGCTTTTCTAAAACTTTGACATTGAAAGGATATAAAAGTTAAAACTCAGTGCCACATTTCATCAAAGTAATAATTATACATACCACCTGTACATCTGAAGGGACTCTGGAAAGGAAGTCAAGTAGCTCATTGTTATCAATTGCATATGGACTCCGAAGTTTTTTGGTAAATTTATTGATTCCTAAAAAAATGATAGGTCAAACATAGAAATCTCCAAAGTTTGAAGTTATACAGAGCATTTGTCTGGCAAAAGTGTTACAGTGATTTGAAGATCTTGCTTATATGCTCACCCTCAACCTTGACTGAATAAAGCAACCTATGTTGCTTTCCTGCTTCTCCACTTTTCCCAACTTAGCTGCTGCTCTTTCTCTTTGCACATTTTGTTCCTTTTTAGCAAGAAAAGCTTTCTGTTTTGGAAACAAATGGGCATAGCTATAAGGAATGATAAGGCTATGATGAAAATTGTCTTCCTGTATTTTTAGATTGAGATTGTTAAGACAGGAAGTCTACTTGATTGGCTTTCCCCTTTTCAAAAAATACATCTTTTTTTGTGGGGAGGTTTTGCCCTTAAGCAAGCTAAATGCCTAGAAGACACATGACCTTGATTTTTTTCAAGCGTTAGGAGAGGGATTGCTATCAGCTTTTTCTCAAAAAAATTGTTGTACATGAAATCAACACACTGACAAAAACTGAAACAAACTAGATCATCTCAACTCYTCTTCATGAAGTTCATACAGAATGAACTGGAATCTTGACTTTGGTCTCTGTCTTACCATGTAAGAACTTTCTTATATTTCTGGCTACCTACCATTGAAAGAATATTCTTGTTTTATTTCATTTGATGAAACAAGAGACCCAAACACATTCTCTAAAATAACTTTTAAGACAGCTAGCCAGTGAGGCCCCATAGGTTACATAGCCAGATGTTGGCCATGACCTCCAGTTTCTAAGAACCTGGGGAAGTAGGTTGAGTTGGTAAGAGTGCTTAGTAGCAGAGATGGCTTGGCAAGTGTGACCCTATTAGGTTGTGTTAATAAGCTACCACACATGATAATGTACCTTGATTCCTTCAATAATAGAACATCTGCTTTAATTATCAGAAAGGAACAACAGATGAGGGCTTGAATATACAATAGAAAATAAGAATATGGTGGAAATGCTTCACTCCTTGTATAGTATCGTAATTGAATTTCTGTTAATTATAGTAATTAAGGTAGGAAAAAATGATTGTCACCCACCCCATGTTTAAAAGTGATGGTAAGGGGTTGGAAGGCCTGCTAAARATGGGCCAAAAAAGAATATGGAAATAGGAATCTTAAGAGTAAAGGCCTTGGCAACATTAGACCTCAGCTTACTTTATTCCAGAATATTTCTTTTAAGGTCTTGAAAACAGAGAATAAAAACTCCCTTTAATCTCTTTCCTTTCAGTGTAAACATGTTTTCTGAAGTTAAGATCCATTGGTATTYTTTGCATTTTACTTTAGCAATCTTAGATGTATGTGTATGTAGGCAAGGACAAGTAGACTCTGCCCCATCTTGTTTATATATATCATTAATATTGTAGTTTTATATGTTAGATCTTAAAGACTGAAAAGGGGATTTTGTAAACCAAGAATTTTGTCAAGAAAGAAGTGGGGGTGACACATTATAAAGAATGCTGAAATAAATTGTCTCTTAAATGGAGCTGGGTATGTAGGAATTGTTAGCATGCAGCAAAATCATATTAAAATTTAGATTTTAAAATATCACCTTTCAAGTAGCTTTTTGTAGAAGCATTCTTGTTCATTACGTATAAAACAAGTATTTTTGTTCCTAAGAAGCCTATAAATGCCAACAACCCTTCTCCTGAATCTTAAAGGTGACCTCTTGAATAGGCAGCCATGTACAGTACCATGTTTACATACATTTCCACAAAATAAAGTACCACAGCAAAAAAGCATATTGTCCTAAATGGACCATATGGATCAAAATGCTCCTGTTTGTGTGTAAGTAGTGAAAATAAATCAGAACAGTATCTAGACAAAGCTATACTTTGATATATGAAGAATCTGCACAACTACACCCTTATAGTATGATAGAGCCTGTGGTGCCAGATAAGAAAAATGCATTTTGCAGGTAGACCTAAATCTTTACACTGTTGTGATTTTTAACTGACCTGTCTCATTTCATCATAGAATAGCCACATGACCATAAATATAGTGAACTACTGAGAGTATAACTCATCCCTTAAAAATAGTTTATTCTTAACAGCTAAGACACTTAAAAAAAAATTTAAAAAGACTTTTTACTTACCCCAGACAAGGACAATGTATCGTAGTGGAACGAAGTACAGGATGATTGTGAACACACAGAGTGCTACAATGGCCAGCCAGCTTAAGAATGGAACAGTCCAGTTGAAAGTACTAAATGAAAAATATAACACTTCAGCAATCTGAGCACTTCATACCTTTTTCAAACAAAGATTAAAATAAATGTGATTCTGACTAATTTGGAACCTAATCAGTCTGCATTTTTCTCTGGAGTAGAAGCCAACTGTGGTAAGCTTATCAGAGAACACAGGTTACTCAAGATTTGCTCAATTCCATGAATATAAAAGCCCACTTGGATTGTAGTGGACAACTTCACAGTCTAATCACTTGTACTCTTTGAAATCTATGTAATTCACTTATCAAAGAGGAACTAACATTCTGTTACCTAACTCTTTAGCAAATGGCTTAGTGAAAAAGAGCTATTGTACTGTTTGTGTGATTTCCCCACATGGTAAAAAGATTCATTTTTCTCCTGCTAAAACTAATACCCAGCCTCCTTTTCTTTGTTTGTTTTTTGTTTTGTTTTGTTTTTTAGGAGTGGAACGACCCTGGGCAAATCCCTCTACCAACCCTCACTCAGTTTTTCCCACGTTGGGAATAAAATGTTTCTAGCAGTTGTCTATAGACACAGTTCTTATACTTTGATGTAAACCCTCTAAATTTTAGAATTCTTACTCAGTTATGTTTCAAATGGAATTATAAATAAGGAAACGGGGACAAAGCAATTAACCTTATAAAGCTTTACCTGCTATTATTGCCCTTCTCCTCAGGAATAGATAGGTAATTAAGAAATAACATCAGCATTGCCTGTTATTCTCCCTCTAGTACTTTGGGAGAGAATGGCACATGATGGATTTGTAGGATAAACTGTGAAAAGGGAATACAAACTGGAAAAGTATGCTTATAGTAGGCTGGGGCTAATGGGTCTGTAGTGTTGCTATACTGCTGGTGATTGATAATGTGGAGGACTTGGTCCCAGAGGGCTACAAGACAGTAAGTATTGACAGTAAGACACGATAAAAGCAGAAACAGGATCAATGAACAAGAGTAGGGGATGTTACAAAAAGTAAGGAAATGGGGAAATAATTTAGTGGAACAACAGGGAAAATGAAGACACACACAAAAAGATGATGTAGAACATTTTTTTGAAAGAGTGTGGAGAATGAAGGAAATGAAAGATGGAAAGATTATATTTAAGGCTTTCTGTGTAGAAGTTCTGTGATGAATCTCAGATAACAAAATTTTAGAATAAATAGAAATGCATTGAGCCTCTAGGTTAGGTATACAAATACATCACTATTTACAGATACACCATTGCATTTTTTTGAAATCTCTATAATGTTCAGTACCAAAGAGAAACTAACATATTGTGTGTACTGAGTCTAACAGTAGTTTGATGAAAAGAGCCAAGAAGTAAAGAGATCTATATTCAAAGCCTAGATTCTATTGTATGAGTCAACATCTCTAACCCTAGGTTATCTCCTTTAKAATATTAGGATAGCTTCTGTTATATCAAGAAAGATTGGTTGTGATGCAGCATGTTTATGTGATTCAAGGTGATCAGAGATAATCAACTCCAGGAGTCTAAAGTGTGTCATTTCTTCCAGTGAGAAGGACTCCAAACACAATTCATAAAATACAAAATTCATTTCTTCTAATTTCTTGGTAATGCATGTTATAGTCATTTGGAGTGGGGTTTGTCCAGGGCAGTTTTGATCCAATGAAGGGTGATTACTCAGAAATTTTTTTCCTATACTATACCTCAGCTTAACACATAGAGTTGTTCCTTAGCTTTATGTCTTTTAGCTTGCTTTTTTGTGTCTCCCTAGGTTAAYTGTTACCTAAAATTGTTTGTTCTAGTAAACAACCCAAAGTTGGATAAGTTAATCCAAAGTTGGATAAGTCAGCTGTCCTGTTTTCAATAACCCTTGGATTTTTGGCTTTTCTTTGTTTTTTCCTCTTATGGTCAGAGTGAGCATCCGAGACTGTGTCAGTAGGTAAGGTTCATGCTTTACTTCCTTGATGGACACCTGTGCTTTCCTTGCTTCTGCCTGCTTGTGGAGAGAACAGAAGGCTTTCTTTCCTACGGCTCAGTTCAGAGCCATCCATCACACCACTCCATGTGTGAGGGCACTGGCACTTCGCTTGGAAAACCTTCCTTCTGGGCAGCCCCACTKAAGGACTCCCTGTGTTTTTCTTTCTCTTATTGGAAGGATAGATGGCAAAGAATCCTCACCACTGTAGCTGGTGGTAGGGAAAAAAGCTTGCCCTTTTCTGTTTCTACATTTTGCATTATGGAATCTAAATCTAGAATATGCTCTTCCCCAAAAAAGAGTTGTAATTCAAGAAAGTTCTGGAATGATTATTTAGTAACAAGACATGGTATTTATAGAGATTTCATTTTGTGCTTAAAGATCACTTCTGAATCTGCTTTCTGGATGATGTTTTTAATCTTATGTGACCCCAGGGGAACTTGCTTTTTTGGTATCCAAAATATTGTTTTACAGAAGATATAGCTCCTGTAAGACTTACTCAATCTTATGCCATATTCCTGTACCTCAGCATGGAAAATTCTACAAAGCCCAGGTTCCCCCAGAGCTGGTCCACCTCCAGACTCTGATCATATCCTTCAGCTAGCTATCATGTTCTCTGTTCGAGTCCTCCCACCATTCAGAGTTACAAAAGAAGCTTTCTTTCCCTCAGGTGTTCACTAGTCTGATCTCAGAGCTGATCCATGGTCTTCTGGTATAAATGAGAGGTTTCCATCACATTATCAGTATATGATGTACTCCGGAGAAAAGTAAAAAGAATGCCCCAAATTTAGGGCTACCAATGCCCGAAATTTAGGCCACACTATGCTTCAGTGGATAGGGTAGAGAGTACAGGGAACATTCTTAGAAATAGCACAGGGAGGAAGAAGGAGAGAGAAAAGGCGTTGGAGTGAGTCTTTTAAAGTCCAAGGCTGAATATTGTTTAGGGGTACATTTGCAAGTGAGAGAGAAAGGACCAATGAATGATTCACACCTTTTGYTTAAATAATTGACCCCTTTCAAATTCTGTGTATGTCCAAGGATCTAAATCTGCAGAATGCTTTAGGTTATCAATAATAAAGATTGATGTTTAAACTAAGAAAACCAGGCTTATCCAGATACATTGTACCCCTTCTTGACTAGATCATTAGCAACCATTACACAGGCCAGTTTCATGTAGTTTATGAGACCTTAGCATGTCTTCAACTCATAACCAATTACTGTAAATTCACCTTGTCGTTTTTTTTTTTTTCTAAATAAACTTCTTTTTTCGGGGGAGGGGATATTGGAGATTGAACCTAGAGGCAATTTACTATAAAGCTACAACCCCAGCCCTTTTCAGTCCTAAAAAGGACTTGAGACAGAGTCTCACTAAGCTGCCCAGGCTTACCTTGAACTTGAAATCCTTCTACCTCAGCCTCCCAAGTTGCTGGGACTATAGAAATGTACCACCAAACCTGGCTAATTTTTWAAAATGTATTAGTAAATAAAATAATAAAACAATAAGATAAAGTAAGTTTCTTAATTTTATGTTAGCTCTCAATGAACCTGTATAAAAAATTAAGATTCTAATTTTTTTTAAAAAAAGAGAATTTTTAAATATTTTTTAGTTTTCGGTGGACACAACATCTTTATTTTATTTTTATGTGGTGCTGAGGATTGAACCCAGCGCCGCGAGCGCGCTACCGCTTGAGCCACATCCCCAGCCCAAGATTCTAATTTTTAAGTATAAAAATTCTGTGGTTTTTTCTAAATGACAAAAGTTTATTTCATTGATAATTATGATCTCAGATATTTAAACTAAAATATCTGAGTTTAGGGCCGGGCATGGAGGCCTGTAATCCCAGTGACTTGGGAGGCTAAGGCAGGAGGATCACAAGTTCAAGACAACCTCCCCAATTTAGTGAGGTCATAACCAACTTAGTGAGGCCCTGTCTCAAAATAAAAAAAAAAAAAATACAAAAGGCTTGGGATATGGTTCAGTGGTAAAGCACCTCTAGGTTCAATCCCTGAGGTGGGCGGGAGAAATRGAGTATAGGAATATTTCTGTAGGGTGCTATACATAATATTTTTTTAAATATAGAGTAACTTGAAACTATAACTAGACCGATAATAAAATACAAGTGTCTTCATTACCTGAAATCATCATTTAGCTTGATTTTTTTTTCTATCACGATTGCATATTCCATTTAAGAACAAAGTCTTTCACTGTGAAAAATGTGCTAAAATTTAGGACGGTGTTATTTCTTCAAAGCTACAAGTATGACTTCTTTCCAACCAATATGTTCTAAATTTCAGGGAAGAAATTGACAGAACTTTCATAAAACCAAAGACTGGCAGCAACAAAGTAAATGATGATGAAACTGAGCAATAGATCACCCAGAAGGAGTATGTCCTGCCCAAATGAATGTGGCATTTCACCCTTCAAGAAATAAATGGATACCCTGTCCCACAGAAGACCAGGGCTCGCATGTCAGCATCACTCACTTCTTTATCCTTTCGCCAAAGGAAGCCACTTCATCTAGGATGTTCTGGACACTCACACATACCTCCTGGATGGCATAGATTTTATTTATAAATCCCTTTTTTTCACTGTCCTRAAATGCAATAAAAAAAGAAATTCTGTATGAATAAAATATATCCTTTAGTGCTTGAATTCTTTGCATTGTTCCTCATATTTAAAATTTAAATAAACTTTCTATACGTTAGATGGATAATTGAAGCTTATGAAAATTTCAGGATATTAGGGACATGAGGAGGAAGAGTACCCAGCATCRTAGACCTGTACTGCTATGAAAATGGTTGTGACCCAGCAGACTTGAATTCTTTTTTTCTTAGGCTGATTAAAAGAAACATTGAGGGAGTTAGGGGATAGGGTGTGAAAGAGAGGAAGATCTCAATATTAGCAAACCAGTGGCTCAGAACCCATCAATATTATACGTAGCAAATCCAGTTTTCTTGACCCTACCACCCATAGACCCATGTTTGGTTGTGGCTTCAGATAATTCAGCAGCAGAATATTCTGGGTGCAAATGAAACCTGTGATCAATGAAAACTSCAAAAAAATGACAAATAACTGAAATCCATTAAGTTGACACTTCCTAGATCAAATATACACTAAGCTTAATCACCCACTGAAAAGTAATACTCTTACTCAGTAGCATATACTATTAGTCAAGGTTCTAACTAAATCCCCTCTCCCTACCCCTACCCCCCCCCYTTTTTTTATATAGTTCATCCTAAAACTTGTGCAGAATTTAAGCAAAGCTGGTGCACTCCAGGGAAGAGGTGGGTGGGGATTGAACACAAAGCACCCAGAAAGTGGTGTGAGCCTAAGGGAAATGTGCATATTTTGTAATTTTAAACCCAGAAGAAGAAATAGTGGTGGCCTTTCACGATTGAAAATTCTGCTTAGTAGCCTGGCATCACAGGCACTTGCCTAGGCTGTTTAGTGGAGACCATCCAACCCTGATTCCATGACTCTATTCCTCCATGCCAGCTTGAATATCTATGGAAATATAGATCCAATTTCATTACTTTAACTTCTTTTGAACACTTGCATACTATGCCAGAACACTTGAGACCTCATGTGGCAGTCAGTGCTTGCTGAAAGCAGCCAGGAAGCTAGAATAATAATGTCATGTTGCACATTTACATACTGACTTTCATTTTAGAAGAGTCTAAAGCACTTTACACTGTGAACACTTGGCCAGGACTGGCATCCTGCCACCCAGAAACCAAGGGCAAGTGAATCAAAGTTGTGTGTGTATCCTCCTAGGACATTACAGTATACGTGGACCAAGGACATGAAGGCCAGTTTTACAATAACTTAATCTTTGGTAGATGTCAATTACTTGGAGCTTTCATTTTATATTTAATTACCATTATTTATCTTGCTTATGCCAAAACAGATTTTCAAACAATGAGGTAGATGAGACACACAAAACCCAAAACAGTATAGGAAGCAATTAGCTACTCTCAGCATTCCCCACTATCGTCAAAATTCACTTGTCATGATAGACTTGGATGCATCAACTGCTTATCTTCCCCCCATTTAATAAAACAAAATGCATTAATTCTACCTATGTAATTGTACACTTTAGAATGAAATGAATAACCAGTGGCTCTTTGTAGTTCCGTTCATAAACAACTACAAAGTTGGTCGGCATGATCCTTAGTGTTCTCATCTCAAGTATCAACTAAATTAACTTATGTCCATAAAGCAAAGTGCTCTTATAAGTGATTTATTCTGTATATAGCAAAGTCAGTTGGAGGTCAGGGTGGGGGAGTATATGATAGTGGTAGACTGCAATGCTTAGTATGTGCAAGGCCCTGGGTTCAATCCCCAGCACCACAAAAAGAAAAATGAGTCAAAACCTGCTGATTGTACAATGAAAAGTCTGTTGAGAACAAGATTTATTCAAAATTATGTGAAAAATATTTTCTCACAACAATAAAATATATAATATTTAGGTATAACTTAAGGTATATACAAAATCTATATGAAAATATGGATATATCATATTTGTATATTATAATACTGAATACTAAATTTTTTTCCCTCCAGTATGAATGCAATTTCAAGCAAATCCCAAATGTTTGAAGAGAATATGATGATATGTTTCTAAAATTTATTGGGAATAATAAATAAGTACAGCCAAGAAATTTTTATAAAAGAGAAATAATGAAAAGGCATTTAATGGACCAGATACTTAAGTAATTAAAGTGAGATGTGGGCACATAGAGATTGATATATAATGAGTCACCATCATAAAGAGGGAAGTGTCATGTTACTGAGCAATTATGTCCACTATTTGAACAAAATTATGTTAAATCCTACCTTCAATAGAGTCTCTAACCTATTTGAGATAACCCATATCTACCTCAATATTTACTTCAAATAGCTCCAAATACATTCTAGGTTAATTTTTGAAAGCTAAAAATAAATGATAAAAATATAATATAGGTATTGTGAATTGTGCCGCTATAATCATTGATGCGGCCGTATCCCTATAGTGCGCTCTTTTAAGGTCCTCAGGGAATAATCCGAGAAGGGCGATAGCTGGGTCAAATGGTGGATCCATTCCCAGCTTTCCCAGGAATCTCCATACTGCTTTCCAAATTGGCCTCACCATTTTGCAGTCCCACCAGCAGTGTACAAGTGTACCCTTTTCCCCACATCCTCGCCAACACTTATTGTTGTTTGACAACCTA